AATAAAAAGGGCACAACTTTAGAAAATACCATGAAATCCTCTTTAGTGTTCAAAGCGCGAACCACACGTTGTTATATTCATACAAGGATCTGTGCATGACCGTTCAGATGACGGTCTGTAAAGGCCTTAACCAGGAACAACCCCAGTCAATAGGTGCGTGGGCAAACTACATTACGTGCATTCAGACAAACAGTACTTAGCAATTTCCAGAAACATTCTATTACTACCTGCAATTTCCAATTATGACCAGTGAAAGCAAATAAATAAAAAACATGATTCCAATAAAATTATAAAAAATGTGAACTAACCCAGAGTGTTATTTTCCTGGGAGTGTGATATCAAGGTGCTCATTTAGGAAAGGATTTCAAAAGCACATGAACAATCTTGGGAAGAGAAGCATGTATTATATACAGTCTGTTCACTTGTAAATACATCATTAGCTGTTACATATCAGGTGTTTACTGCCCCATTTTACCTTAATAAAGCTGTTAAAAGTTGAGTAAAGATATCTAAAAACTTACTTAGTTCCACCACAGCAATTTATAGGAATTCCTATAATTAACAGGAGTCTTTGAGACTTGATTTATTTTATACTTAGGTGTTTACTTACACATTTTTTGTTTGTTTTTGAAACAATCTTACAGTGTAGCTTTGGCTGGCCTTGATCTCTGCTTCCCAAGTGCTGGGATCAAAAGTGTGCACTACTCCATCCGATCTAATAATTTACAGTTTGAAAACAAAGTTTTACCTGAAATGGAGGCCCACATCTCAATGCAAACCCAATGTAAAACTACTATTTTCCAGAGAAGGATCTTTGAACTTCTGTAGGTAATGTGTAGACTGTCATTCACTTATGCAGTTAGATGAGACACAAAGACCTGTGCAAGAATGAACCTGTCAGCAGCCACGCACAAGAAGAAACCTGTCAGTTGGCTAGGTCTGCGGTCAACACCTGAAACGCCACTGGCTCACTCAAGCTTGTTTCTAAGCTTTTACTGTTTGCCTCAGGGCAAGTTCAGTCAGTTTTGCATTTTGTCTTTAGCTAAGTTAAAAAAGAAAAAAAGAAGGGGAGTGGGGGATGAGGCGAAGGGAGGGGAGCAAGAAAGGAAGAAAGGAAGGAAGAGGATCAACAACCTTTTAAAAATTGTTGATGCCATGCAGTTCTATTCAGGGACCGTGAGGGATGGTACTACACATTGTGTATTTAAGAATATTAGCCAGGCGGTGGTGATGCAGGCCTTTAATCCTAGCACTATAGAAGCAGTAGGCAGATCTCTGAGTTTAAGCCCAGCCAAACCCTGTCTTGAACCCCACCCCTTAAACTATTTATTTATGTGTATGAGGGTTCTGTTTGCATGTACGTGTACCGCAGGTATGTATGTGTACCACATGCACACCTAAAGTTACAAGAGAGAGTTAGATCCCCTGGAGCTGGAGTTGTGAACCACCACGTGGGTGCTGGGAATCAAACCTGGATCCTTCACAAAATAAATGCTCTAACAAAGTCACTTCTCCAGCCCTAGGAAAACATTTTTAATTGAAACATCTGACTAGAATTTTTCTTTGTACAGTAGCATGCTACACATGGACAGAGGCATACGAAGATTATTAAACTTCTGTCCTTGTGAATGCCCTTTTTGCCTGCAAACACTGTGAGGCCCTGGCTCGACTGTTGTCACCCTATGACTCAGCTGTACTAACACCGCTATTATTTGTACCTTGTTTTGGTAAAAGTAGCATCCACCCTTCATATGTTTGACTTTTACAGATGCCTACAGTCAGAAACTACCCAGTAATCAGACCTGTCAACTATTCCGTCGTTCAGTTGTCATTAATTCCGAGGTAATTACATTTATCAAACTATGGAATGAGGCTATATGTAGGAATACACACACACACACACACACACACACACACACACACGCATTAACAATTAATGAAAAAAGCCACGACTTTGAAGGGGAGTGGGGAGGGTTGTATGGGATGGTTCACAGGGCAGTGTAGTTGTCAGGAGATGTCTATAGCTCATCCAAGTGGTCCCAAGGCTGCATTTATTTTTAAAACACTGGCCTCTCATTTGGCCTCCCGGGAGCCACCATGTCCAGCTGCATCAGGCTGCCCTTCAGACACCTATGTTTTGTCCTTTCAGTCAGACAATTATTTTGGGGGAAAGCACACACACTAAAAATTGGAATAACCAGCTCAAATTAGACTACAGTTCTTTCAATTTTACGTCACGAAACATGCCAAAGCCATCAAACGATTACTTCCCAGTAGGTGGCTAGAGGTAGGTCTCCAGTATGAACAAGTTAATGAACCAAAAGCATACATAACTATTTGGTGTGGAAGGTCCTTCTGTATATGTGTTGCTTTTACTGGTCAATGAATAAAGAATCTGCCTTGGCCTGTGATACAGTAGAGTAGAGCTAGGCGGGGAAAACTAAACTAAATTCTGGGAGAAAGAAGGTGGAGTCAGTGAGACACCATATAGCCGCCAGAGGGGAAAGACGCAAGCTTACAGGTAGGCCACAAACCTCATGGTAAAAAATAACAGAAATGGGTTAACCAAAGATATAAGAGCTAGGTAGCAATACGCTTAAGTGACTAATCAAGCAGTGATTTAATTAATACAGTTTCTGAGTGATTAGTTCATGGTCTGGGCAGTCGAGAAGAAACAAGCAGCCTCCCACTGCAAGTATTGCATGATTTTCAAGTAAAATATGTTAGGAAACAAACAAACTCCAGCCCTTACCCTCTTTTGAGGTGACGGTAAGCAGTGTAAGACATCCAGGACCTTATGGTCTTAGCGTATCAGGCCAACAGTGGAAAAGGGCGTGTAATTAACACACCTGCCTACACATCTAGGATCTTATGTTCTTAGCGTATCAGGCCAGCAGTGGTACAGGGCGTGTAACTAACACACCTGCCGACACACATTTAACCGCTTTCTGCTTAAATGGTAAATCTCAGAACTACAGATATTCCCCCTTTCCCTGGCTATGAGCAGTGTGAAGATTCGAAGGTGGACACTCCTGAAAACATCTAAAGCTATGTTTGCAGCCTGTCAAGTCTCAGTAGCAGAAATACCCTAATTATACATTCTGGCTACATTTCTGTACATGACATAAGGCTGTTCTGAAAACGCATTAGAAGTCATAATGGTGACTACATAGTTTCTTAAGCCATAAAAGTACAATTTAGGATCCACACACTGAATGAAACACAGCTGCACAGGTTTAGATACAGATCATCAAGACAGCCTTAAACATAAAGTCAACAGAGGGCACCTGAGACAGAAGAGGGCAGATTATTATTGTGAATGTCTTAATATTTCCAGGTACTTAGCTTAAATATGTGTTTCAAAGACTGAATTTGAAAAAAATACCACAATTGAAAATTAAACCTGTGAATCTATGGCTTTGTTATTCTCGTACTGAAAAATCATCCAGTGGATGTCTTAAAATTGTACAATCATACAATTTTTAGTAGTTCATGTACGGTGGGCTTTGATTATGAGACTCCGTTATGCAAAGATAAGGTAAGATTCAGACTATTCTGAATTACCCTGGCAAACATGGGGTCATACTGTGGGCTCACTGAACACAGAATAAATAGGGTCTCATGAAACCAACTGTGTAAGAAGAAAAGAGCTCACTTAACAAAGCATATGGAAATAAGTACAAACATTTATTTCCTCTCTTACCCACTGAATTAGAATACAAAAATGTGTTAACAGTGGGAATTACGGGAGAGAAACTTGGAATAACAACGACTTAAAATGATGTCTGAAAAACACACAAGTTCCAGATTAACCGAATTAATGTAGAGTGACTGCACTGTGAACAACACAGAAAAGACAAGATTTTTAGACGATTTTGTCATTAAGTAACTCATGAAGTAAGCTGGGTGTGGTGGCACGCACCTTTAATCTCAGCATTCGGGAGGCAGAAGATCTCTGTGAGTTCGAGGCCAGTCTGGTCTACAGAGTGAGTTCCAAGACAGTCAAAGATACACTGAGAAACACTGTCTCAAAATACAAAAACAAAACAAAACAAAATTCACTAAGCAAACTTTTCCACAGAAAGGCTGGAATACTTTGTAGATATAAAGTATAAAACAATATTTTTATACAAAAAGTAGACAGGAAATAAACTTGGTTCATTATATTCTCTATTAGAAAATGTTAATTATGATAAATAAGAGCTAGAAAACAAATTTCTTTATAAAATTTTAGGTTATCATTCAACAATGTAAACAGTCTTTCTTTTTCTTAAGTTAGACTTTGAAAGCACTTTTGGAAAACAGGTTTTTAAAAAACCATTTCGAACTGGGGTCTTCTGCACATGCTAAGAAAGTACTCTTACAGTGAACTGCATAGTCCCAATCCAATATTAAAATTTACAGGTAAATGAAAAACTGAAACCCAGAAACTTAAGATATAATTTCTCTGAGGCAGGAAAGGGTTAGAGCTTAGATCACCTGATATTTTAACGTTATTACCTTATATACTTAAAAAAAAATCCTTCTAAAAATCCACACTTGGAAATCACCCCACAAAGCACAGTACCACAGCAATGAACTGCCGGGATCTAGTGATAATATGCGCAAAACACATTTCAAATGTGCTACTACTCTAAATTTTCAAGGGACAGCCAAGACCCTCAGCCCCAAATTTTCTGGTGAATTTGTTTACCTTCTTCTTTATGTAATGTTGATTTCAACGAAGTATTTGTTTAACTCTAAGAACCATTTAATTAGGTAGGCGATCCAACAATTCCAGAAATAAAGTAACAGCATATAAGTCTTTTTGGAAATGGAAAATAACAACTGTCAACGCTGTCAGTACTCCATGGTTACATACCATGTACCAAGAAAATCCATTAAGTCTTTGCCTCTGTGACACCTACAACCAATATAATCAATATTTAATTAAAATACCAAGCTAGGAATGTTAAATACTTCATAGAAAAACTTAAAACAAAACAAAACAAAAAGCCCAGTTGGGTTTGGATGTATGATGGTTTTTATTTACAACTTTATTGGCAAAAAGGGGAGAACTTTAAACAGCTTTAGTGCAGGGACTGTGGCTGACCCTGTCAGGCTGGACAAGTCCCGTCTCTGTCCATCTACCTGTCCAGATGTGCGACACTGACCTGCACATGCAGTTTCCTTTATACAGCACTCACCTTCCAGGCAGTCTTTAAAACATATAAATACAGAGGAAAGGAAACCACTCATTAAAAACTGCATCAAACGGAAAGTATTTTAAGTATGACTTTGTTGTTCCTGGAAATAACACATGCCCAGTGAAACCAAAAGCTGGAGAAGACTTACACTTCCTACGGGGTGGACGGTGACAACCATCTTCTGTAACGACCATCTTCAATTACCATCAACTACTCTGAACTTACTAGGAGATGTAGTCAAAGTCACAAGAGAAGACGCAGGGAGAGTATTCCTTTGTGGAGGACAGTATTCCTCCAGAATCATCACGGGAAATAAACATCCTGCTGATTCTAGGTGGCAAAACAATTAACGTAGTCAGTTTTGATTACGGCTGATCATGTTGAGCTGACCTAATTTTCTTCTTGCCTTGTCTGGTGTCATTCTTCTAGATCAAGTGTGTTTAATTCTTCTTCTAGTTCGTCCAGATCTTCCCCAGTGAACAGATTCTCATCAACGGGAACAGCACCGATGGTTCCATTCTCTTGTCCCCCCACTCCGCTGTCCTCGTCCAAGTCACTTCTTTCGCCATTTTCAGCCTGGCCTCCAGAAGCTTCACTTAATTTGTTCTCTAAAAACAAAACAAAATCGAAATCAGTACGGCCTAGAAACAAGACAGCATTACAGCAGCAACCAAGAGCACAGACCTCTCTTCCTTTCCCAGGAATTCCTTCCCTGAGATTCCTGCAGCAAGGACAGGTCTTCCTTTTCTGAGCTCACCTGTACCAATCACCTGTCCACTAGGAAATCCCATCTGTGTTCCTCACGTGACTCAGCGATTTGGTTCCGCAGCAGTCAATCCCAATCTATTTCGTTAGGACTAAAGGCCACAGAACAACCCCAGCAAAGTGCCTGTGGGCAGTTACCTGGCTGCTGGTTTAACAGACAGAGCCTGTGAGGAGGCGTGGGTCTGGTCTCCAGCACCACAGCTAAGAGCCTACTGCTTAGGCAGCTTTAGCACACAGCTGTGTGCAACAAGACCAAAGACGCTGCTGCCTCTTGTTCAATGACAACACTTACATTATGACAACTTTTACTAGCCTTGCTTACATTTTAATTCACTTAAACATTTCTGATTACAAGGTCGTGGAGATATGAACTTCAGATAATGTCACCAAATCCCCACTCCACTCGATACCCATCTCAGAGCTTGGCAGGATAAACCACTTGTTTTAAGTTACAACTTGTCAACTTTCATAATGAAAATCAGGTGTATTAGTCTTTCCTGTCCCAGCCTTTGCCTTAATTAACATCCCGTGTTTCTCTCTCACAGCATTCTTAGTCTTCAAGCCCCTTCCTCATGCGCCCCAACCTTTACGTCCACAGTCCCCAGAAAGCCTTCCCTCCACCCTCACACTGCCTCATTGCACACACTTTCAGGGTTTGTTTCTTTTCTCCTCCTCCACTAGAGCCTTTCTGCTTGACACATATGTATGTTCCTATTTCTCACATCGTAAAAGCCCCTCCCTGTAACCACACTGCTTCTGACACATGGTCTGGACTCATCTGTCCTCTCCCCCCATTTCCATACTTGGTAAATCAAGTACCTTATTTCAGTATCCCTTTGTGTAACTGCAGCTAATAAAATACCTGTAATTCTAGTCCCCCCCCCACCCCGAAACACAAGTCTCTTAATTTTTTCCACTCTGGTAAGCGCATCTGTTTTTGCCTGGCCCATAACACTGGTGTGTACAGTGTGCTCTAGACTGTTACTCTATACATCCCGACTAGCTGAGCTCATTCATTCTGACACTAGTGCACATTACTTTCAGTCTGTTTTTGTCTGCAATAGTTATACAGAATTTGAGAATAACATTAAAAAGCTACATCTTCCAATTCATTTTTGATCTTCTTTTAAGGCGTTTAGCCCATGGTTTCAATACCCACTAAGCCATTCTTTTCTACAGCTCTCCCTACATTTTTATTAAGCCAAAAGTTCCCATTTCCAGTTTAGAGCCTGCATACATCTGAATTTGCCCAGGTCGGTTTCCTTGTTTCTCTGGGCCTCTGGAAAAGGCAGCATACTCACCATCTCTGTCTGAGGTGTACGTGCTGAATCTTTCGAGACTGGCTACAGTGATGCCTGTCTCTTCCACATCCCTCGGGATGTACAGGCTTACGTCTATGTCATTCACACCCACAGAATCATCAACCTTTAACAACACAGAGGAGGCAAAGTCACTACAAATAAGTTTCCTTAACTCACTTTTACTCTTGACACATTATCTTCAGGAAACAAAATTATTACTAACACCAAGAAAAAGACAAATGATACTGCTTGAAAACTCAATTTCTTCCCCCTTAACCTTTTAGAAAAAAAAAAAAGCAGTCACTGTTTCTAGTTTTCTTCTCTGGAATCATGGTGTGGGTATGACGTTCCTTCAACCTGGAATTCCATAACAACAGCACATGACATCAGCAGACCTGCTCTTTACCTTATCTACTGCCCTCACCCCTTGACTGTTTGGGCAGAACAAATTTTAAACAAAGAAATTATTTTAAAGGGACAGAAATAGCTTTAAAAAATCTACTGTAAATAGCACCTAACTGTGTGCACCAAGCACTGTACTAAGTTCTTTTTTATCTTGGTTTTTCTGTGTAGCCCTGGCTGTCCTGGAACTCACTTGCCTTGCAGACCAGGTTGGCCTTGAACTCAAGAGATCTGCCTGCCTCTGTGTTCTAAGTGCTGAGGTCAAAAGTATGAGTCACCACCACTCAGCATGTACTAAGTGAACTCACTCATTCTCAGAAGTAGCCTGTGTTAGGAACTACTTACCTGCACTGAGATTAAGAATGGAGGAGGTCTAGGGAACGTTTCTTATGGATGGAAACAGGACCTGAACTCCAGAGTCTAGCATTGGTGCCCTTAGCCATGCTTCTGTTTTTCTCTACCACTTCCCTTCAGTAAGATCAACATGAGAGGTCAAAGCTTGGTCTTACCTCATCACCACCTGCTCCCTGAATGTAACGGGTATCATCTGCTTCCTCGTCATCATCATTAACCAGCTCAGGACGAAATTCAAACACCTCACGACCACTGATCTACAAAGGCACACAAATATATCATTGCAAAGGAAATGCTACCATTAATATTAGACATACTATGCAGATTTAACCTTGCATTTTAACAACGATGAGACAGAAGAATGAAGGACCATTGGTCTGAGTCTGGGACATACCACGAGTGCTTTCCCTGCTTTGAAGTCAGCTTTCCGTCTCTCCATATCTTGTTCAAGTTTATCAATCTTTTCTTGTCTTTTCCTTTTCTTCCACGCAAGGAATGATTCTAGAGTGATTTTGGTAACATTTGGACCTAAGGCAGAACGCTGCAAAGCAAAGAGATATTTAAAGTCACTTATAATTGTTTAACAGCATTTTTCTTTCAAGGTAGGTAACTCTTTCCCTATGAATGCCCTAAAACATAAAACAGACTAAGCGATGTTAGCATGGTAATAGGCTAAACAAGTACCCAGACACACACAGAGAGCTTAACACTTTGACGTAGACTTGAGCAGAAAACTTTGCTGTGAAATAGATATTTTAAAAAACATCATAATAAATTCAAGCTTCATTTGTGTTCTTTCAGATAAGAGATAAAACCAAAAGACAAAATCTGCACTTCTCAAGGTAGCAAGTTAATAAATGGGTAGAAAAAATTATCTGTTAGACACTCAGTGTTGATCTCCAAAATCAAGAGGGTGGCAGGACACTCATCAGAGTGGTGGAAGGCGGGAAAACAGTCTTAGCCCTGCTTGACCATCCACACTCTACTACCTTATCCATGTGACAGACCACACCATGTGGAGTGTATGCAATCTCTCCATTAGTTACTCACACGAACACTCTACTACTTTATCTATGTGACAGACAACAGCCATGTGAGGAGTGTACTCAATCTCTGCATTAGTCACTCACACGCACAATGAAGCAAACCATGCTGAATTTAGTGTTCCCGATAATCTCACTGCCCTCCAACTCACACAATCCCCTCCGTCGCTGAGCTACAACAATCGAGATGCTCTTACACACACTACCTCTCCTCTAACTGGACAGACAAACATACCCAGAACCCAGAGGGATGGTTTCTTTCCACACACACACAAGTATGCTAAAAAAGAAAACAGAGCACCAGGCAGAGACCCTAAGCTGCATCAATATGAGGCATAAACAAACATTTAAAATAACCCCATGGTATGAAAACAGCAGTGACTTAACAAACAAAGTACCCTAGACATCCCTAAAATTAAAGTATGTTGGGCTAATGTAAACAATAAAATTTACATTTATGATACTCAAGAGTAATTTAAGTACAGAAACTTTAGGGAAAGGACATGATATTATTTTTCCTTTCTTAACATGCTATTGCCCCCAAGTGGTAAATATTAGAATTTACAAAAATAATTAAAAGCAGCTTTTAAGAGAAAAGATACTTGTTACCTCTCTTTCAATTAGATCTTCTAACGAAATCTCATCTTCTTTCTCTTCTTTCTTTTTGTCTTTCTTCAGCACAAATCCAGGAGGAAGTGCATGACGATACATGCAATTGTCGCCACCTCCAGGACACACCCAGAACCAGCCATACTTGTTATTTTCAATAGCTTCAAGGAAATGTCTGCACACCTAGAGAGACAGCATTATTCAGAAGTGGTGGTACAGTGTAAATCTACCTCACTTTGATTTGCTTAAGTATACGGAACAAGTAACAATACTTATATCCTAAGGCTAACTTATGTACAAAGCACACTTTTACAGAAAAGATTTGAAAATGAATCTAATACAAAGTCAGACCATGTGGTTCACTCCTTTGTAATTCCAGCCCTCAGGAAGAAGCCAAGGCAAGAACTGTTTAAGAGTTCAAGGCCAGCCTCGGCTGCAGTGGACGGAGGCCCCCCCCCCCCCGTCCCCATAAACAAGTCAGGAGCTAGAGAGATGCTCAGCAGTTAAAGTCAGGGGGCTTAAAACTGCCAATAAGTCTGGCTCCAGAGGATCTACAGGCACTTGTAGTCACGTGCACGTACCACACATAGACACCACTGCTACACATAATTGATTAAAACCAAACCATGTAGTATAAACGGCAAAATCTAAGCCTCTACTCCGATGTTTTCCAGTTAGCCTCTGTAATATAATCCTCAGAAGTCTGATTTTTAAATCAGCCCCCAAATCCAGCCCAAGGTCTTACTCCTAGCACTACAAGGCACAATAAAGAAAAAAAAAACAAAACAAATGCTATGCAATAATGACACAAACTCATCGGGATTACCTAATTAAACAGGCAACTCTGTACGTGAGTCATAAGGGTACAAGGTTCAAAGGAACACAACAGTGATCCTCAAACGCAAAGGGCACAAAGTGCAACTGTGCTAAAGCATCAGGCAACAACCTCCACAAATAAAATCACCAGTATCCATCTTCCTAAGAAGGAAGCAAAATTCATCTGCATCTTCCAGCAGGGCAGACTCTTACTGGACATGTATCCCGGATACAGACGTATGCATGTAAGTAGAGACGCTGAGGAGGTACCCGAATTTTTAAAGGCAGACTTCCCAGAACTAGAGTTACTAACTCATTTGGAATTCACATGAAAAAGTACTTTTGACCTAGTAATTGAATCAACCAATTAATTACAAGGGTTGGCTTAACAAGCCTACTTCTTCCACTACTCACAAGACAGATGATTCTTAGCTAAGTATGTATTGTATTACTCCTGTACTTTTGAGACAGTCTATTTTTGCAGCCTGGTCCCACGTGGAATGCGCAATCTACCTATTGGGATTACAGGTATATGCTACCATGTCCAACTATGCTAACCCATAGTTAAGGAAGCACAATTACTCCATAAAATTGCATTTAGGAAACTTTATAAGTTATTCAGCTTTTAGACCAATTTTATTAAAACAATTTAATTAAAAAGTGAAATTTGTAAATTCCAAAAAACAAGCTTATGTTGGTGAAATGTAATTTTCTAATACTCAACAATCCAGTAGAAAACATCAATACCTTGCCATAAAATTTTCCCTAATAATAAATGCCACAGCAACTCAATTCAAGAAAAGGACATACTATTTGAGTTTTTGGTTTTTTCTTTTCCGCCTCACCATGCTTCTTGTTTACTACTTCTTCCAGCTTTTTCTCATCCCAATTATCCATAGTATCTGAATAAAAAGACACAACAAGCAATTTTTATCTCTTGCTCTACTATATAGGTAGGCCTCTAAGCAAACAGTACACAACACAGAAATATTCATAATGTAACAATTTTCTCTGAAGCAGCAAAGACAGCATACACAATATTGCAAATTATCCACCCAAGCTCCCTAAGTAGTTTAGATAAATGAGACATTAGCACAGGAAGGAAGACAGCCAAATCCAAATTAAACCACTGTATTCTAAGCATCATTTACTTAAACTCTGTGTAAACCAACTGTTCTTTACAAATATACTAGTCAATACCGTATTAATATGTTACTAAGTAGTAAGAAACAAAAAAGGGGATTTATTTTTCAACTTTAAGAGAAAGTTAAGAAATACCTTTTTCAAGTTCTTCATCTCTGGCATCAATGTAAACACTTCGCTTTTCACACTTTCTCTCCAAAGTGAGGTCATGAGAGAACTTACACTTATCTCCTTTAGTACACTGCCCTTGTTTGAAGAATGCACACACCACAGACTTGGGATCTGCACCTGGATCCAACAGGAAGGACATCTATAGTACAGGCAGGTAACCCACTTTCGGGACCCTGTTCCTACTGCAGGGTGTTGGCTGTCCCAATCTTATAGGCTGCTAGACGGCAGCTTGTGTCTGGGATTACTTCTGTCTAACTTATTATTTTCTATTTACTAATGTAAGAGAAAGTATCACTTAGAGGTGTTTGGTTAGATATTTCTTTAAAGTTCTTTACATAGCATTTTAACTATTTATTTTTCTTTTATTAACAAAATAAGTGGCAGAGGTGAAGATCAAGCACGGAGGTTCTTCTAGTTCCTTGGCTATGGAGTCAGTGAGACAGGAGGCAAAGAAAACACAAATGAAGACTATTGTCCCAAATATGCATGTGACATACAGTTTATGAGACCACAGCTTTGTCGTGCTCCTAAAGACCACCCCCATTAAAACACAAAGAACAAAACTCCAGAAAACTACTGCGTTTTTATTTTCTTAAGACAAAGTCTTGCTGTTTAGCTTTGGCTGGCCGTGAGCTCATACAGATCTGCCCGCCTCTTCCTCCTATGCGTCAGGCACAAACCACATAAAAACCTAGAGAAACTGTGTGAGTGCTGGCTGCCTGCATGCATGTGTACCCGAGGTGCCCAGGGTGCTGGGGACTGAGACCAGGTCCTCGCTAAGAGCAAGAGGCGTCACTCCAGCTCCGCACAAGTCAAGTTTGCAACAAGATCTGCATTTGATAAAAGAGCACTTGTGACATTTAATCTTACCTTTACTTATCTTCTGCGCGGCGACTACAGGCTTGAACAGCTCGTTCAGTTCCTGCAGCTCCTTCTTCTTGTCATCTTTCTTCAGCTTCTTCTCAGCTTCACTTTGTGCCACCTAGATTTCCAAGTTAAAAATGTAAATCTGATTGCTTATACAATTGTTTCCACTATACAGCAATTACGACCATAACAAAAACATTTGTATATTTATATTATGCACTCTTTACAATAAGTGGCTTACATATTAGATATTGCGGTTAAACTATTAAAATTGATAAGCTTTGTAACAAATTCCTTTTTGTACTATAATTAGGCACCACACATAATTAAAATGCATTCGAAGCTAATGAGTTCATGGTAACAAGCAAATATTAAACACTTAACCCTGGCATTTAGCAAATACTTCTCAACTGAAGTATATTTTTTTCCCAGTGAAAACAACTTACACTCTAGAAATACGAGCGCATTTTGACATGAGATGAAAACAGCCTGATATGTTCAATAACGGTCAGTAAGCACCACAAACTAGTGATGGGGATAACAGAAGGCACAATGCACTCGTAGTTCTGGTACCTAATGACTGGTGTATTCATCTAAAACATTTACACCTCAGTCTTATATTAGAAGACACAATACAAGATGCTTATTTAAGGAAACTCAGACCGTGGGCAGACAGACACACAACTATAATACAATATACACAAAACTCTGAAACAAAGAATGTCTATATGCTTAGAAAATTAGATTGAGCTGGTAACTTTGTAGAGGAGTGCTATCAACAAGAAAAGAATGTAAAAGGAACCCGCCACTGAAAACACCAAGATATGGAAAACATCAAGGACAAGTTTGGATCTTATCAGTAGGCGAGAGACTTTAACTTAGTGGTTTGAAGTAACCAGATCAGGTTCCATTTTACAAAGACAGGGTAGAGACTTTGAGGACGGAGTAGAAATGCTCGAAGAAAGCAAAGAATCTCCTGCAATTGTAGACAGGAAGGCACTAGGGATTGGAACAGGTATTAGTACAAAAGGGAGAAGAAAGCATTTAGGAAGCAGAACTAAGGACGAGGAGAAAGAGGAGCCTGGGATTAGCATATGCACAATAAGTGCTGCTGAAAAGGACAGGGAATACAGGAGGAGCACGTTTCAGGGCAGGTGGAGATGAGCTCAGGTTTGGACACAGGAGCATGAAATGCTTCCAGAGCATCTGGGCGGAGCTGTCTAAAGGCAGCTGCACTGGACACGGTACCAACGCCACTGCAACTAGGCAGGGCCTAGTCTGAGATAACACAGAACCTAATCTGAGATAACACAGAACCT